AGTTCCTTTATTGATAAAAATCAAATTTGTTGCAAATACAAATAATTAAGACTTAAACCAACTTTAAAAAGTTTTTTTTTTCCCTACTCATTTTCGCTCATTCAGGTATAAGTGTATTACTCCTTTTTACCTGTTGCTTTTGTTTTTTTTATATCTGCTGATACATTTTTTGCTTCTGAAATCCCTTGTTTGCTTCTGAGTTCTGGCACTTTTTAAACAGGGGATGGGTCTTAGAAGAGAATGTTCACTTGGACTTTCTATTGGTCAACTGATTTGGAGTGCAAGGTCTTCTGAACACAGCCACTCAGTGGAAACCACCCCTAGTATGGCAGAACACATTGTACTGAGTGCTGCTCTGAGTGCAGCATTTTACTGTCATATCTAATGTTATAAGCAATGTTTGTTATAATTTTTTTAATTATTAATGTAACATGTTTATGGTCCTGTGTTGGCCTGTCCAAGAAGGTAACTTATTTCGGATACTGACAAACTCAGTTGTGTATGAATGAAAGAAGCTATCATTTTTCAAGGTCGCAGCTGTTAGCACTAGCAAGCCTACCAATACCCACTAAAAGGCTAACTAGGGTGGCCATACCGGTAATGGAACTAAACTGCTTAAATATTGAGTTAGTTGACTGCATTAATGTAAAGACAATGATTTGGAGCAGCAGCATTCTGTAAATCGGCATGCTGGGATACAAAGCCTGTTTCAGTGACAACACAGAGGCACTCTGCAGGTAGAAACAAGATGATACTGAAATAACAGTCTTCATAAACCCCAGAACGGAACAGCCAACCATGACACGTTGATCTTATTCCATTTGGTAGTGATTAAACATTACCGCCCATCAGTTGTCTCACGGCAGCAGTAACAAGTGGTAATTTCCACTCTTTACAGCGTTCATGCCAGTGCTACCTTTAAGGTTATTTCCCTCTACCCACAGCACTGCAGATTCAACGATTTTCTGACCCAACGCATCTAATTCAGCTCATGAAGGACTCGACTGTCAGTTAAAGAGCTGTATCAGGTGTTTAAGGGAAAGAATAACTACAACCGCGTGGAGCTGCAGGTCATCAGAAGCAGCTCTTGGAGTAGACACGGCTACGTGTTCAGAAGACCTGTCAAATAGAAAGAAGTGAAAAAAAAACTGGCTAAATGACTAATAAATTTATTTCAGAATGTTGTAAAGTCATTTGTAAAAAGATTTCTAATCACATTTGATTAAACTCATTGTCTGCATTTATAACATTTTGGACATTTTTTACCTAACATTTTGCTTGTGAATATAGTATGTAGAATGTCTGCAAACTAGAAATTTCAACTTGCTAAACTACCCACACTAAAACAAACTGTTGTGACTGGCACGCACAGTGCTGTCTTATTGTTCAGGTGTGAGGGTCATCAAATTACAATTCCTAGGCTAAAGTCACAGAAAGTGCTAGAACTGGAGTAAAGTTTGAAAGTTCAGCAACACAAAAGGAAAATTTTTGTAACAAATGAGCTCATTTTTATTATGCAAACTCTTTAAATTATTACTATTATAACTATTTTATACATTTATTGTGAGAACTTAGAAGCCACTAATGAATTTACTGAAAAACAAATAATCTTATGCGCCTACATTAAAATCAGAACCAGATTAAAAAAAACAAAGCAGATGATATGGCTTGAAATTAAATCCAAGTGAATTCTTAATTACTAGAAAAAATACATGAATTAGACGAACTGAAGTATGCTCAGTTTACAGACAAATCTTTAATGTTAAGCAGCTTCCTGCAGTTGTTTTTGGTCATTTTACACAAAGAGCTCAGCAAGAGCTCAGGAAAGTCAGTCTATCGCAATCTGCTCTCTTTTACATTTCCCTGCTACAGCTAGATAAAAACAAACACTTGAGAAGTCACATGACTTACATGGACTGCACTTACATTAGCATTTTTTATGCTTTTTCAAAGGAAAAGATGACTTTTGATAACGATGCATTTTTTTTTTACAAAAGCATACTTAACTGTAATTACAATGTACATGCAATAAACATGATTAATTTATTCCACCAACAAACTCAAATTTGCTAGCTGCAGATGAAAGCTCCTCCATGGACCACCGCTGCTAACTTGCTAACGGTCTACAGCTTAAGGTTTCCATGTGGAACTTACACTTGCGAAATCTGACACTGCATTATGTTCATCAATCTCCGTACACACCACGTATTCTCTGTTTGCATGCACCGAACCATACAGTCAGCTTGGTGACTAAGACAAGTACACGTAATATTACACTCCTACTAATCAATATTTTTACCTCCTGTAATATTTCTTCAATACAATACTGCTATAGTAATTATACTATAAATAATACTTCTGCAGTATCTATAGTAAAGAATTAAATACAAGATTCTTGTTTGAATCCTGCAAATCTACCTATCTAAAAAAAAAAAAAAAAAAAGAAAACCTTATTATGCCAGAGGTAGACAACTAAAGCAAAATTAAGAATTTATGCCAGAATCATAGAAACAAACATAAAAGTTTAGAACATGCATAGTACAGGGAGATTCACTCGAAAGAGGCCCCAAATATTCTGTAATAACTCTCACTAGGACGAAGCAATCTGAACGAAGCTTCGAACAAGCCGGGATGCCCCGGCATCGGACAGCCTTTGCGGAGTTTAACCTCCGTTTCTTCCGGGTGCATACCCCTGAACTCCTTCATGTGTCTGGCAAAAAACAGAGATCACTTCCAGCATTGCATGCAATGCAATGGATTACACATACATCAAGGTATGTAGCGTATTTTTGGTTCAGATTGCTTCATCCTAACGGGAGTTACAACACAATATCTGGGGTCTCTTTCGAGTGAATCTCCCAAACAAGCATGCGTCAGGAAAAAAAAGCCATTTTTTCCATTGTACTATTTAAATCAGAGAACGACAGAAATCACTTTTCATGACAGTCATCCAGACTGATAATTTTCTCGTTCTGTAAAGAAATTCTTGAAAAATAAATTCTTATTGGGGAAAAAGAGAAAATACATAAACATTTCTGTGTCTGTTCAACCAGGCTCTAGATCACATGCAGAAAGGTGAATAGTTGTTTGTTATTAATGGTGGATATTCATGAATGTGTAAATATTTAGCTGGTCTCTAAAAGGTAGAAAAAATCTCCATGGCAAGTGGCCACTCGAACCACTGGTTCTGCATTTTTAGTCGTGAAATGCTGGTGCCAGGGGCACATGAAAATAGCCAATGTCAATGCATGATTAATATTTTAAATTCTACACTGGGTGAACAAATATTAAAATGCTAGATTCTGACATCCCCTTTTCACTAACCATCAACAATATACTGCTTTACATGCATTTAGGTTGTAAAGCACATTTGTCTGAAACATAGAACTAAATTAAATTAACACTGTTCGCATTAACTTACCAGCCTTTCCAAGCACATGTTAAATAAGCTCTTCAGTCCATTGTAATAAACCTCACCTAGGGCTTAAGCTGTAACATTTCCACTCATGTCACCTTTAGCTAAACTGTTGTCAAACTCCAAGTGCTCAAAAACCTTTTATATTTTTGTCAGTATATGAGTATTTTGCTTGTATTGAAAAAAAACATGAATCTTGCTCAAATATTTATAAAATTATTTATAAAATTCCAAAATGTATTACGGTGTTCGCTGTGCTCCCCTACTCTTGTTAATGATGGCATGCAGCTACTGGCAGAGGTCCAAAAGGATGACTCTTAATTGCCAACAGCAATTCATAAGCTGCTAATTAATAAATAAATAAATAAATAAAATCAACCTTTAAAAAAAAGTGTTTTCTGTACTCTGCCATGGTGAAAGTCCTTTTTACAGTGAGTGTAATTACTGATCTTTACTGTTCCCTGCTCCCCACCTATACAATTAACAATACCTTAATCAGTGGTAAATAGTGTTAAACCAGTGAACAGCATGTTAAATACTTTTTGATAACATTTTTAAAATCTAACACAAACACTGGGTGTTTCACAGCCAAAGCAAAAGTATTAATTTATTTGTTTACATGTTTAATTACTGGGAATCTATTCCATATACACTATGTTCCTTACTCTTAACTGAATTTTAGCATTGACAACCTGGTAAGTTATATGTCAATTTTAATGTCAGCAGCACTTCTCTTTCTAAGCAATACAAATTTTATTCAGTCACTCAATTATGTTCCTACAGTATTTTAAATTTCCACATAAACATGCACAAGAGTGCTGGCAAATGAGCACAAAAAATGGTAAGCATTTTTCTGTTTGCATATGTATAAGAACACATTATCATGGCTATTTCACTTTTTAGAAATAAAACCCAACTAATTTAAAATCAAATCTGATCCTAAATGCATTTAATAATCATAGTTCCAGTTTTTGGATTCGGTTTCAAAAGGTCACACCTATCTTGAAACCTGACAATCTGGCTGATATCACAAGGACTTGCTGAACAAGCTTTTAAATAGTTTTTATGTCACCTACGTCGAGACAGAGTTCCAACAGGTCTTCTGCAAAGCTAAGTTGAAATCAAGCAAATCTATTTTCACGTTTAAATCCGGGACATTACCAGGTTACTTTAACGGTGTAACATATAAACCAAATATTCGCTTGAAAACAAAAACAAAAAGATTTTACATAAATGACAGTCAGCCAAATAAATATTTCCGCGTATATGCTAAATGTTTAACAACAAGCGCTGGACATTTTAAAAATCTAGCTTGTGTGCTGTGACACCTTGGCACAATAATCCACTAGACCCAAAAGTAAAAATACCTGTCACCTTGATAAACATTAATACTAACGTTAGATCCGAAAACTTGTTTTCGACATCATTCGGCCGCCATTTTCTAACCGAGAGGGAGGACATGTTGAACAAACACAACAAAAGAGGAGCGGCCATTTGCAACTCGCATTGATAATAGTGCGCTAACTTGGCATCGAAACTTGTTTTCTCTTTATTCTGTGTAAAAAAAAAAACACCACAAGCTTACCTGATGTGTGGAATCCCAACTCCCCCCTGAAGAATTTTATATAGCTTGCTTTCATACAAGAGCTGTGGGTGTCTGGCTTTCTGCGACTCCAGTTTTACAGCGACCTCCTAAATACAAAACACCAAGTACAAGTACCAGTGCTATAAGTATAGTGGAAGCTTCAGCGATTGCCAATACATTAAGTTATATATAGCTAGCACAATACAGAGCACGATCGGAATTAATAAGGTGTGTTCACCTTCTAGTACACTAAAATCAGCGAATTTCAAACTTATTGTAGGGATTTATCAAACCACAAAATGTAAGCAGCAGAACAGCCATGTTAGCTAGCTAGCTAACACTATGTTTGAAAGTACGGAAGCAAAAGAATTTTCTTCGCTACGACCAAAGCCCTATCTGCAAGGGCTTGGGCCTACGCTAGTTATGCATTTACGTAAGCGATGTAGCTAGGTTATTTAGATACGAATTACAGATAAAGTTTACCAATATATTTCGGACTTACCTCTCCGTTTGTGATGTTGATTGCCAAGTAAATGTCACCAAATGATCCTGATCCAATTTTTCGGACAAGCTTGTATTTCCCACCGACTATAAATTCGGCCTTAGAACCACTGCTACTAGCCATGTCTTTCGAGTTCCTAGAAACACTTAACCGAAGTAAAATGACGGCGTCTTCTAATCAAAAAAGTGCCCCTAATCTGCTTATTACTAGCAAGCGATTACTTTAGGAACATACAGCTATCGGTCTATTGTTCGATTCAGTTCGGTTGAAACAATGCTAGTTAGCTAACAAACAGTTGCTATCTATCTGGAATCTAAGTTACTATTACTTACAATCATTAAATTCTGATAATTAGGCTCATCTGGGGCAAATATAAGTAATCTCTGCCCCAATGTGTGTTTCGACGACGCGGTTATTGACCTTACATCCAATCGACTAACTTCCAGTTTTCCAATAACGTTGGCTAATAGCACGCCATAAACTCGCTAAGCTAGCTAGCCTCTAGCAGAGTAGAAGGACAGTTTTCGTACAGTCCTATTTTCGACGCGTTCTCCAAACCACCTCAAATAGAGGGGCAATTTTATCCTCTGATGAAGGTTATATTCTGATGATTTAAACATACATAAACTAAGTATCCTTATCTGTTGCAATATCAAAGAAATAGAACGAGTTGCCACTTTCTTTCCAAAGCGCAACCCACTCACTCCGCCATCTTGTCGTTCTGCCGTTCGTCTCGAGGTGATTAACTACGTTTCTTTTTCTAAGAACGATAGCCTACTGCTGCCGGCAGGGGAGAGGTTTTGTGTGATGTCACGGAAATGAGCATATGAATGCGGGAACGCGCACGAGGACGTGGTTTTCTTTTGTTTGTCTTTTCGTCTGTTGCCCTTTACTTTTTCTCTGCGGTAAGATCTTATAAATTATTATTAATTATTTATATCAGTAATACACAAAAGAGTCACGTGTTCCCCGTCTTGTCCTGGTGGCCCGCTGGGCCGTAAGGCGCGCCTCTGACAGATTTCACTAATACTCAAAAATGTTCAAAAAAAGGGCAATACATAGAGTAATTTAGGAGAATCCCCACAGGGATAAATGCCTGTCTTATTTTCTCACCTGATCAAATGAGGCCAAATGTAAGCTCAACACATTTACTGAATGGCTCTAACTCTGTGGTATTCAACTCCAGTCATGGGGAGAGTTTAAGATATTACCAACTTTCCTGATCCAGTCCATCTATCTGCCTATGTATCTATCTATAGATTTCAGCATCTTTATCTATCTATCTATCTATCTATCTATCTATCTATCTATCTATCTAATTTCATCTGTATGACAGCATACTTGGTAATTATTCCTCCAGATTTCTTTTTGTAAATTTGTAACGTTTTGTAATTGGTTACCACATCTATCCATTGCAGATCATTTAAACCCTATGTTTAATTGAAAATAGTACAAGGACATATCATATCAAATGATGAAACTGAGAAATGTTATTGTTTTTTTAAAAATATATGCCCATTCTGAATTTGATGCCAACAACACGTTGAAAAAAAGGTGGGACGGGCAACAAAAGTAAAATTGAATTGCAAAATAATAATAATAAAAAAAAAAAACCACTTAGTAGAACATCTCACTCCTAACTAGGTTAATTGGCAACAGCATTAAAAGAAGACACGATTCTGTAGTGGAAATCACTGCATGGGCTCTGGAACGCTTCTGAAAACTGAACTCAGTTTGTCATTGCAACCACAAATGTAAGTCAAAACTCTACCATGCAGAGAAGAAACCATACATAAACAGGATCCAAAACCGCCACCGCTTTCTCTGGGCCCGAGCTCAGGTAAGATGGACTGAGGCGAAGGAAAAGTGTCCTGTGGTCCAACACATGAAAATTTTAAATTCTTTTTGGAAATCATAGATGCCATGTACTCCGATCTAAAGAGAACACCGACCACCTGGCTTGTTATCACTGCATAGTTCAAAAGCGAGCATCTGTGATGGTATGGGGGGCATTAGTGCAAATGGCATGAGTAACTTGCACATCTGAAAAGGAATGATTAAGGCTGAAAGACATATATACAGGTTATGCTGCCATCCAGACAACATCTTTTTCAGGTAAGGCCTTGCTTATTTCATCAAGACAGTGCCAAACCACACTATGCACATGTTACAACAAAATGGCTCCACAGTAAAAGAGTCCGGGTGCTAAACTGGCCTACCTGCAGTCCAGACACCCATTGAAAACATTTGGCACTTTATGAAGTGAAGAATACAGCAAAGGAGACCATGTGAACTGCTGAGCAGCTAAAATCCTATATCATTCAAGAATGGGAAAATTACAACTATGGGTCTCCAGTTCCCAAATGCATACAGATTGTTGTTAAAAGAAAAATGCACTTTTGTGAAACGTGTTGCTGGCACCAAATTAAAATTCAAAATGGGCATATATTTTTCAAAAAGCAATAAAATTTCTCAGTTTGATATGTTGTCTTTGTAAAATGTAGGGTTTAAATGATTTAGATGTCATTACATTCTGTTTTTATTTACAGCCCTATTTCCAAAAACGTTGGGACGCTGTGCAGAATGTAAACAAAAATAGAATGCAATCATTTGCAAATCATGTAAGCCATGTTTTTAAAGGCACAAAGACACAATATCAAATGTTGAAACTGAGAAATGTTATTGTTTTTTGAAAAAAAAATCCTATTTTGAATTTGATGCCAACAACACGTTCCAAACTGGGCATGTTTACTACTGTATTTCATCAACTCTCTTCTTTTAACAACACTCTGTAAGCATTTGGGAACTGAGGGGACCAATTGGTGTAGTTCTGAAAGTGAAATGTTTTCGCATTTTTGTTTGATATAGGATTTTAGCTGGTCATTAGTTCTTTGCCATAGTTTTCATTTCGTAATGCGGCAAATGTTTTCAGTGGTGACAGGTGCAGGCAGGCCAACTTAGCACCCGGACTCTTTTAATACGGAACCACATTGTTGTATTACATGCAGAATGTGGTTTGGCATGGTCTTGCTGAAATAAACGAGGCCTTCCCTGAAAAAGATGTCATGTGGATGGCAGCATATGTTGCCAAAACATGCATATATCATTCAGCATTAATGGTGCCTTCACAGATGTGCACGTCACCCACACCATGCGCACTAATGCACCCCTATACCATCATGAATACTGGCTTTTGAACAATCTGAGCAAGCTGAGTAGTCTTTAGCCTGGAGGACACAGTGTCCATGATTTCCAAAAAGAATTTCAAATATTGATTTGTCAGACCATAAGACACTTTTTCACTTCCCCTCAGTCCATTTTAAATGAACTCAGGCCCAGAGAAGGTGGCAGCATTTTTGGATCCTATTTATATATGGTTTCTTCTTTGTGTTTCTGAGTTTTAACTTGCATTTGTGGATGCAGCAACAAACTTTCACAAACAGTGGTTTTCAGAAGTGTTCCTGAGCCCATGTAAAAAATTCCACTAGAGAATCATATCTGTTTTTAAAGCAGTGCTGCCTGAGGGCCCAAAGATCATGGCCAGCAAATACTGGTTTTGGCCTTGTCCATTGCGTACAGAGATTTCTCCAGATTCTCTGAAACTTTTAATGTTATTATGTACCATAGATGAAGAAAAGCAAAGGTTGTTTGCTATATTATGTGGAGAGATATTATTCTTGAATTGTTGCACTATTTGTTCATATAGTCTTTCACAGAGTGGTGAACCCCTCCTTATCTTTAGTTCTGAAAGACTCAGCATCTCTGGGATGCTTTTTATACCCAGTCATGTTACTGACCTGTTGTCAATAAACTACCAGGTGTTTTTGTTTAGGATTACACAATTTTACCAGCATTTTTTTGCCCCCGTCCCAACTTTTTCGGAACGCGTTGTTGGCATCAAATTCTCAATGGCATCAAAAAATTCTCAGTTTCAACATTTGATATGTTGTCTTTGTACTATTTTCAATTAAATATAGGGTTTAAATGATTTGCACATGATTGCATTTTGTTCTTATTTAAATTTTGCACAGTGTATATATATATACACATATATATATATACACATATATATATATATATATGTAGGTACTATAATTACAGGCTTATAATAATAGGCTTGGTTTTAAGATTTTTTCCCTTTGAAGTGAAAATGTACAGTTATGCTGTTTTGCTGTTTGCTGTTATCCTCATCTCTGAGACCCTAAACACATTCATGGTTAGGACACCTAAAACATGTGAAGTGCATCCAAACCGGACCATCAGTTATGATGACAAGTATCTGCCTGGCTGCCCATTTGCCCCCAATTATTTAGTCCTCAACGATTAAAAAACTTAATTTGGGAAAATGTGTTCTGCATCAACAATTCAGCATTATGTACAATCACAATGTTAGTTATGAACATTGTCCAAATTCCTACACAAAGAGCTCCATTTAAGCAGTTACTTTCATAATAAGCAAACCACAGTTTCTCTACCAATCCAAGAGAGATCTCTTTACAAGAGGATGATATTTAGGCAAGGTTCATATTTTTAATATTTAGTTTAAAAACACCTCACCCCAATTAATTCATTATTATATGTAAAAATGCTGCAGTATGCTGCTCACAAGCATTTATGTTGTATGTATACATAAGCACACTCATACTTTACTTATGTGATCTGGTGTAGTGTAGTGGGTAACACCTCTGCCTTCTACGCAAGACTGGGGTTCAATCCCTCACCTGGGCAAGTACCCTACACTATACCAATAAGAGTCCTTGGGCAAGACTCCTAACACTAACTTTCGCCTATCTGTGTAAAATTATCAAATTTTGTGTGTGTGTGTGTAAATGTATTATTATTTAATAATAAAAAATATGTTTTATGTGTACTCCTTTGTGAGCTTTTAAATTTTATATGATGCTGTTCTTAGCCCATTGCCATCACTTAAAGAGCAAACATACAGACTTAGCAGTTGTTCAGCTAAATTCAATATATTATCTAGCTTGACACCACATAAGAAGTCAGTGTACTCTGACATGAAACAAAGATATCTGAATGAGTAGAAAATGCAATTTAATGGTCAAGCTCCAATTTGACATACCATATTATAAACTAAGGTAAATCTACCAAATAGATGTTAGTCTATAATACTGATAAACCATTTACACATCTCAAAGCAGCAAGCATGAAAGCTCAAACTTATCCACAACTTACTCAAAGTGCCAGCTATGCTAACTAGAATACAAACCGATTTTTGGTGAATCAAGTAAGTGAATGCACCTGAAACTGTAGTGTTGTAACAATTCACAAATTTTATAATTTGTTTTTATACAAAGCAACAATGTCTTCATTTGACATATTTTACAATTCACCAAAAAAAGGAGTGCCTGAAATGTGCTTTATTTTAATACTCTTATAGAAACAATGTAGTAATACTGTAAGACACTGTAGAATTTCTATAGTGTTGTGTATAAATTTTGGTAGCACTTTACAGGTTGAGTAATGATATGGTATAACACAGAAGAAACGTGATGTATTTTCCAGCCCTGATTTTATGTAATCTCAGTATATTTACCTCATCTATTCCTGAGCAACTATTGTCTGTAGCTGGGCCAAACTATAAAGGTAATAGAACAAGCATGAGTAATAATAATAATGTAAAACTCTAAGTCGTAAATTCAGTGCAGTTAGCCTCATTACTTTGAAGCACACCATTATCTAATGTGAGGTGCAGTAACTGAGAAACAAGATGCAAAGAAGTAAGTTTGCATTT